TCATAACTATCAGGCCTCAGAGCAAGAAGTTTCTTTGACATGAGTGAGTAAGATGTGATTAAGTTGCATTTTGGCTAATTTGGGGGGGGGGGTGTTAGCCAGTTATTTGATATGATACCTGATTTATACAAGTCGTTTATAGAGTAAGATGACATATTGAACTTAGCTAATTTTAGAAGCAGTCGTATTATAAAATTTATTCTTTGAATACCAAAATTGTCATTTTCTAAGAGTACTGCACTGATCTTGAAATATAAAAGTTTATTCTTTTCTATCAAGACTGTGGCAATTCAATGTTTTCTCTTTTGATAAATATTTTGATACTGAAAGCTTATTCTATATGGTTTATTTGATGTGTGTTAAGTCTTGCATGAGTGGATCAAGGAACTCTTAAGAAAAGATCAAACAAGAGGATATGAGAAATGTAGGTGCTTCAGTAGCCACGTGGGCATGGGAAAATGAGAATTTTGAGAAACTGTTATTTCATAAGTGTGTATCATAGCTGATCAATTTAGAACACTTTCTTTGATGAGAAGTGAATCACACATTCACCTGAACTGGCATCCCAACTGTCTATTTCCTAAGTGACAGGACAAGGGGAAGCACATGATAAATATTTGTGGTGTTCTGGCATCAATGCCTCTGATGTTTTCCAGTTTAAATACTCTAGCATTCATCATCAGCCTTGACATTGATTCTCTAAGGTTATGATTTGCTCCACTGTTTAATGGTCCCTTTTTTTTTTTTTTTTTTTTTTTTTTTTTGATCGGGGTTTTCCTCTTTTTTCCCGGCTGGAGTGCAATGGCGCGATCTCGGCTCACCGCAACCTCCGCCTCCTGGGTTCAGGCAATTCTCCTGCCTCAGCCTCCTGAGTAGCTGGGACTACAGGCACATGCCACCATGCCCAGCTAATTTTTTGTAGTTTTAGTAGAGATGGGGTTTCACCATGTTGACCAGGATGGTCTCAGTCTCTTGACCTCGTGATCCACCCGTCTCGGACTCCCAAAGTGCTGGGATTACAGGCTTGAGCCACCGCGCCCGGCCTAATGGTCCCTTTTATCCATATCAGCTCAACATGTTCACATTAATATCCATACTTTTCTATTTTAGTTATAGGCATTTGAAACAATCTCTTTTGAAATACAAACTTTGTGGTTTAGGAATCCTATATTCCTATTTTACTCAGTATATTTCCATCACCTTGCTGTCCTAGGCAATAAAAGAAGATGCCAAAAAGAATCCTCAACATTAATTGTTTTCAGAGCCAGGCATGGGGACTCAGCTTGATATTAACACTGCATGAATGTTTGGTTAGCGCTGTCATATCTACATATAATTGATGACGTGTCCCCTCTCCTTTGTAAGACCTCCTGAATAACATCCTTCCTTGAAGGTAATTATATATATTTATTTTTAGTTACTTTGTATTGCATAAAATATATATGATTTATTAGTTATTTTCTTTTAAAACTCAGTCAGCCTACCACTGAAGATCGTGTTGTGACAGAAGCAGTACAAAGAAAGAATGTACAGACATTGAGAGCAGGTACATTTTCAATACAAATGGAATGCTGGAAATAAGTATATTAAATGATTGGAAGTACTCACATTTTTCTTACCTCTAATTCTTTTCATTCTAAATTGAATGGAAGGCATTGACATAAATGTTATTGTTGGTATCCATGTTTCAATAAAATTAAATTTACAAGTATAAGAAAACAAGATTTTAAAAATATGAGTTTTAACTCAGATGCTTCTATTTTAATATTTTGAATAGCATAACGTTTCCAATAAGGAATTTTTATACTTCTCGGATTCACAGCAGTGAATTTTGAGGTTCTAAGATATTTCCAGTATCTTATGTGCTAGTTGGAGTTCTGATACTTACCTAAAGGAATGCTTTATTTAGATATTAGTTTCTGTATTAATGTTAGAGGCTTCCTGTTAATGTTATTACACCAAAGCTGTGAAACCAATGAGATGGTCTAATGAGCAGACTGTGTGCATGTGTGTGTATGGCTAAGTATATGGGTGTGTTTGTGGCATCTTTGATTATTAAAAACTAGGAAAGTAATTCATTCATAACTGACAGTCTTAAAATGGTGGTTTTGAGACTTTTTGGTATAAACGTTTTTTAAAAAAATAATTGCATTGAGGCTACCAATATCACTGGCTATTTTCCATTTCAATATCCTTTTGAAATCCTTAACTATATTGTGATTCTCAGAAATAATATGCAGAAGTTTTATTTGTGTCCTAAAATGGAATGTGAGTGGTTCTACACTTTACATATCATTCTGCCACTTTCTTTTGGGTACTTTGTATTATATTTTCGAGATGTATCCACACTGATATGATTCGCTCTGGTTTAATTCATTTTATACTTGTCGTTGCGTTCCCTTACGCCACTCTACCACATTGAATTAAACTCTCCTGTTGCTGATAAATGAAGAAAGAAAAAAAACAGAAAAGGAAAAATAGGTTAGGTGCGGTGGCTCACACCTGTAATCCCAGCAGTTTGGGAGGCTAAGGCAGGCAGACCACGAGGTTAGGAGATCAAGACCATCCTGGCCAACATGGTGAAACCCCATCTCTATTAAAATATAAAAAAAATAGCTGGGCATGGTGGCGCATGCCTGTAGCCCCAGCTATTCGGGAGGCTGAGACAGAAATCGCTTGAACCCAGGAGACAGAGGTTGCAATGAGCCAAAATTGCGCCACTGCACTCAAGTCTGGCAGCAGAGCAAGACTCTCTCTCAAACAAAAAAAGAAAAAGACTGTCAGATTAAAAGGAGCTTTTGTTTAATCAGTTTGTATCTGTGAATATTTACTACATGAGAGCTTAAGGCTGAAAAGTTGAGAATGCAAGCATGCACCACCACATTTTACAAATGCCTTTAAAATTATGACTCCTGAGCCTTTAGCCTATGAAGTTACAACGACTCATGTCTCTAAATAAGTTTAATGTACTGTTCTCTAAAATAAAAAAAGAATGAAAATAGCAAATGACATTGTCTTATTTGACCTCTTGAACATCTGCGAATGAAACTGCAACTTACTCATGTCAAAATTCAGAACCAAGGTTTTGAACAATATATATATAGTTTGTGAAAGTCTCATGAGCCCTTGATTATGAAATGGCCTTTCAAGTTTTACTTTTGCATTTTTTGCTCTTTTTCTTGACTTGTCTTACAAAAGCTTAAATTCAATAGTTTTATTTCTACAGAAAGGAGGAATTTAATTTTTTAATATATTTCTGTCTTGTCTCATGACATTGTGAACTCTTCAGATCAGGTATGGACGTAGACTTATTTTTACATGGAAACAATTAGGTTTCTTTGTTGTTGTTGAGACAGAGTCTTGTTCTGTGATGTGGTTCAGAGTGGATAAGCTCTTAAAGCAGTCATCTTTCAAGTGGTTCTTTCTGTGGGAGGTAAAATGGCAGGTGAATTTGGGCCTTGTTTTATGTAGGGCAGAGCACATAGCTACAACTAAGTAAAACAATCAGCACCTTCCCCAAGAGTATTGGCCAGGGTAACACATTAATATCCCTTGAGCTCTTCTCCACTGGCAGCTGGAAAGTTTTTGCAAGAATCCCTGTTTCTGGTCTGATTCTTATGTTTTGCTGACTTTTGGTGATAGGGTGTCTTATCCTAAACTGAACAGTTTTAACTAAAGAGCTAGAATGTATTGTGTTACAACAAACTAAGTGCAGTAGTTCCCCCTTAACTATGGGAGATGCATTCAGAGGCTCCCAGTGAATGCCTGAAAGCACAAATAGTACTGAATCACTCTCACTTTTTTCCATACTTACCTATCTATGATACAGTTGAATTGATAAATTAGGCACAGTAAGAAATTAATTAAAAAAATGGAAAATTATAGTAATATGCTGTAATGCAAGTTTTTTGAATGTGGTCTCTTAAATACATGGTATGGTTCTCACCCTTTTTCCCGTGATGATGTGAAGTGATGCAGTACCTATGTAATGAGATGAGGTGGGGTGAATGACGTAGGCATTGTCATGTAGTGTTGGGTCACTATTCACCCCCTGACTCTAAGTCAGAAAAAAAGATTATCAGCTTTGAGTGTTCCTGGACCTTCAGGCTTCAATGACAGTGATGGCGGGATGCAGGAGGAGACCATGTTGATGACTAGGGCTGGACAGCACATGCAGTGTGAATGCACTGGACAAAGGAATGATTCACATCCTGGGATGGATAGTGGGCAAGAGCTCAAGATTTTATTGTGCCTCTCAGACTGGCACACTAACACTTATGACTTGTTTATTTCTGGAGTTTTCAATGTAATGTGTTTGGAATACAGTTAACTGTTAGAGCTGTAACCACATAATTCAAAACTGCAGATGTAAAATCTGTGTTTGGACTTTGACTCATTTCTTGGTGTACAATTCTTAAAATCCTTAGAATTTCCAAAGTGATGTCTTTTAGTATGCTAATGATCGATGGCTGGAAGCTCCTAGGTAGATTCAGGATGGGAACTGGTACCATGCTGAAGACATGCCTGATTAGAGGGTTGAGATCTTCTGTCTCACTCTGCAAAGTCTGGGGAGGAGAGAAGGGCTGAAAGTTGTCAGTCACCAACAGCCAGTGATTGATTAGTTATGCCTATGTATTGGAGCCTTCATACAGACCCAAAGGGACTGGGCTTGGAGAGCTTCCAGATCGCTGAATACACACAGGTTCCTGGAGGGTGGTGTGTCCTGAGAGGGCATGGAATCTCTGTGCCACTAGCCCCATACATTGCACTATGCATCTCTTCATCTTTACCTTTTGTACTGTCATTCATATTATACTGCTAAGTGTGTTTCCTGAGTACTTTAAGCCATTCCAGCAATTCAGTTTAACCCAAAGAGGGAGTCCTGGGAACCCCAATTTGAAGCTGATTGGTCAGAAGTTCTGGACTTTCAGACTTAGGACTGATGTAGTGAGGCAGTCTCACGGGACTGAGACCTTTACCTGTGGAATCTGATGCTGTCTGCAGACAGAGTGTGAGAACTGAATTAGATGACACCCAGTTTGTGTCATCTGCAGAAGTGATTGCTTGCCTGTTGGTGGGAAAAACCTCTCCACATGTTTCGTCACAGAAGCTTTCTTTGTTGATGATTGTTGCTGTGGTGTGAGAGCAGAGAAAAACATGGCATATGTGTCTTTTCCACACATACAGTGGATAAGGAGTACTACTGTTTACCGTTTCAACTGCCCCCCTTCATATTTTGGTCCAGAAATCATGGTGTTTGACACTGGTAACTCATGCTGTCTGTTCTGCTAACAATACCATTTTTATTCAGTTTCATAGGGTTTGGCTAGGATGACTTGTATACTGCAGTTCACTTGTAGATACCAAATTTTGATAAGTTTATTCTTCTTTGTGTTTAATAAATACAAAGTAAGGGAAGTAAGAGTTCTTACTGCACTAATCACATACCAATAGGTATAATTTATATTAATTCTAATAAGATCCAATCTAATAAGCTCCCAAATGAATGCTTTATAACAAAGCATCAGTTGTATACTTTAAAGAAAAATGATCTAAATCATTTACAGAACTGTGGATACTTTTTTTTTAAATGAAGGTAGCACCTTGCTATGTTTCCCGAAACTGGTCTCAAACTTCTGGGTTTCTCAAGTGATACTCCTTCCTCAGTCTCCCAAATAGTTGAAATTATAGCCATGCATAACTGTCCTTTCTTATGGTTTTAATATTCTATACATTACTGATTGAAAATGCATTTTTTCTTTAATAGGTTGTGGCAGTTCTGATGAATCTGCAGTCAGGTAGGACTTTACAGTTTTAAAAAATTATGTTAACTAAGAAAACATAGACGGAAAAAACTAATATCTATTGAGTGTGTATTCTGGGCTAACCACCCTATTAAATGCACCTCAAAGCCATCATGTCTGTTTTCTTATAACCTACTGTTTATTAAATAGGCAACTGTGATTTAGAGAGGTTGATTAAATGGATCATGATCCCATAGTTCAAAAAGTAGCTGGCCCACAGTTTGGCCATCAGCCTTTCAAATCTTTTTTCTTGCTAATCAGCACAGATTGATAGAGATACTTGTGCAGAACTTTGATCAAGGTATAGGTCTGAATAAGATTAATCAGATAAATTATTTTAATTAATGTCTAAATTAATGAGTTTAAGTAAGTTAAACTCTCATTTTAGGTCTCACTTAGTAATGAGGTTAGTCCTTGAGTTTGTCCTAATATATTTGACAATTTTTGTGGTAACCAGCATTTTTTTTTTTAAATTAACCATCAAAGTCTTTATGACAGAATAAAGGTTTGGCTATCGGACTGGAAGTTTTACAAAACCAAGATTTGGCAAGTCTTGGAGAGAAATTATTTAACATCCCAGTTTTGTTTTCCCTTTAGGCTAGTATTTCTGCCTACTTCCATAATGCTTTCTTTTTCAATTTCTTTTTCCATTACTTTCATTCTTTGTTGTTTTCAAATTCTGCTGGCTGTGTATTCCGAATTTTCCTATAGACAGAACCAAAAGTCCACAGAATTACAGAAGTTTAAGGAGTCTTGGGACTAATTAAAATACCTTCAAGGACTTCAATCTGTGTTCAAGTGATTTTCTAGATTGACAACTTGAGACTCAGAGATGAGGATGCTTTTTTTGGACACAAGACACGCTAGAAATGAGATCTGAACACGTTTTAAAGCCCAATAGTCTTCCTTCTTTTTCTAGTCTATTGGCATGTGTTTTTTGAGAGAGTTTTACTCCTGTTGCCAGACTGGAGTGCAGTAGCACAATCTTGGCTCACCACAACCTTCACCTCCTGGGTTCAAGCGATTCTTCTGCCTCAGCCTCCTAAGTACATGCGATTACAAGCATGTGCCACCATGACCAAATAATTTTGGATTTTTAGTACAGACGGGGTTTCTCCATGTTGGTCAGGTTGGTCTCGAACTCCTGACCTCAGTTGATCTGTCTTCCTTCGCCTCCCAAAGTGCAGGGATTACAGGTGTGAGCCACCACACCTGGCCTGGCATGTGTTTTAATAATACAAAGGGGGAGTGAATCTGGTGCACGGAGTGGATAGACTGAGAATGGAATTAGCTGGTGAACCCAATGGAAATGGCAAAGAATGGAATGAG